CGGGGGCCACCTGCTGCAGGTCGGCCATCCGGAAGTCGTACGTGGCCGTGTAGCCCACGTTGGCCAGCGTGGTCTCGCACATGTAGAAGGTCCCGTAGGCGCCGTGGAACAGCTCCTCCACGAACTCCAGCAGGCCGATGGCCACCTTGGCGCGCCAGGGCCACGGGGGCCCCAGCCACTGCTGCAGGGCCTGGTGCAGGGCGGGGGGCAGCAGCTTGTCCTGGTTGAAGTCGGCCAGGAGCAGGACCTGCCCCACCAGCGTGGGCAGCGCGGGCAGGTCTCCCAGGTTGGCCTGAAGTTTGGGGCCAAACAAAAGGGGGACAGTGGTTCAGAGCCAGGGTGTGGCTAGGGTGGCAGGACGCCGGCCTTGGTGTGGGTGCCAGGCCCTCAGGTGCCCCGGTGCTGGCCGGTGGGCTGCACCCAGGACCCAGCACATCCAACAGCTTAGAGGAGCCCAGCCTCCAACTGCCGCCTCCTGGAAGCCACCCTGACTGCCCACCCATCAGCATCTCTTGGAGCTGCTCTGAGAACTCCATCAGGGCTCAGGGGCTTGGGGGTGGGCACCTCAGCACGGAGGTGAGAGCCTGCTGGGCAGGGCCAGTCACTTCTCTTCTGCTCTCACCCGCCTCTCGTGCACACCAGCTCCCTGCTCTCCCTACTGACACCCTGGGGGCAGGGTGCTCCCTGCCTCGTGGGCGAGCCTGATGCTTGGAGCTGGGGCCCAGCCAGAAGCCTGACCCCCGGAAGGCCCCACCAGGCCTGCCTCCTGCCCTGTGCACACGTCCCTGGGCATGAACTGGACGCAGCCCCCCGAGAGCCGCTGACCTTGAGGAAGCTGAGGGTCATCTCGCGGAACTCGTTGATGGAGGTGCCCCGCGTGGGCTTGTCAAACAGCACCAGCTCCCGCCGGGGCGCCGCATCCGACCCCTCCTGGGCGCTCCGGCTCTCCTCAATGCCACACTTGATGGTCACCTCCTTGCCCTGCCAGAGCCCGCTGTACACCTGGGTGGGCGCAGGGGTCCCCATGTAGAAGTTCCCCTCCCGCTGCACCCAGGCCTCTGAGCCAGGCCCCAGACCGCGGGGAAGCCTCCCGGCCCGGCCCTGGCCTGGCTGCCCCGGGCTCACCTGCTGGCTGGGCACAGAGGACAGGCAGGTCCGCCACTCCACCCTGTGCAGCTGGCACAGGTCCTGGCACAGGGAGCCCGAGATGATGCCCTTGTGGTACTGGTCACACTAGAAGGAGGACACGCCGGGAAGTGGCCTGGGAGACGGGGCTCAGGGGCTCCAACACTGGCCGCCCCGAGCCCCCCCTTTACATGCTGTACCCCTGGGCGGTGGCCAAGGCCCTCATCACATCTGCTAGGGCCCCTGGCTCCTAGGCCACACACTCCTCAGAGGGCCCCGATGCTGAAGCCCGGAGCCAGGCGGCCTCCGGCCACACGCGGGCGCCCGCCCAGCCCACTGCGCTCTCCGCACTGAGCTCTCCGTCTGTCCCTGCACCATCCCTCCGCGGGCAGCCAGCCCGGGACAGACAGCACCCTCACCGCTGCCCAGGTGCCCGGTTAGAGCCCACAGCCGGCGGGCACGTGCCAGCTGGCTAGGCGATGCGGTCCGGCTGCCTCCCCCTCCCCCTGTCTGTCCCCTGCAGCCCATCCAACCTCCACCACGCATCAGCCAGAGGCACAGCGGGGAGGGTAGCTGCTGGGCAGGAACAGGGTGGGGGTGAGGGGGCCGAGCCGGCCCTTCCCTCTGCAGGGACCGGAGTGGATTCTGAGGTGCCCTCGGTTGCCATGGAGCCCAGGCCTGGCCAGCCAGGCCCGGAGGAGGCAGAGGCAAGGGAGCACAGCGCCACCCATGCAGGGAGGAGGGAGGACGGGACAACACCAGGCTGAGGCCTGGGCTCCATGTGAGGGCGTCGGCTGTGGCAGCCCCGACGGGGAAGGGAAAACAGAAAATCCAAAACCGCACCCTCCACCCCCAGGAGGGAGGCCCCACCCCAAGGGGTCTGCTCTGCAGCAAACCCCAGGGTGCCACCAGCGACCGTGGGCGGCGGGCTGCTCTGAGAGGCGCCACCGGGGCAGGCGGGCGTGCACAGAGGCCGTGGTGGGCGGTGTGTCCTAGAGGCCCGTTCCCGTCTGCAGTCTGGGTCGCGCTGGGGACTCGGAGAGCAGCTCCCCGTCACTGAGCCCAGGGCCTGCCCTCCGGGTGTGGCCTGGACGAGCTGTGGAGCCTCTGAGACGGCTGGGGGCCCTCAAGGTGACCAACATCTGCCCGTTCCCGTCTCCCTCCCAAACCTCTGGAGTCCGCCCATCTGTCCATCCCTGGCACCAGCCGTGCCCCCCCTGGGTGCCTGCAGGGGGCCCCCAGCCCTGCCCTCCTCCCACCAGCCCACCTCCTCCTCCGCCAGCCGGAGGGTCCCTCCTAAACCCCCTTCAGGGCCTCAGAGGACGGCGGGTCCCTGCCTGGCCCGCCCACGCTCAGCCCACGGGACACTTACAATGACCGCTTGGCACACGTGCCCGCGGCAGAGTTCTGTGTAGGACGAGTAGTTCACGTACGCCAGCCAGCTGCCCGCAAAGACGCCCAGCCAGACCAGAAAGACGTACTTGACCCTGAGGCCCGGGAGCCGGCCCTGCCGTGGGAGGGAACACGGGGGGAAGCGCCACATTTGGGAGAGTCACCCCCTCTCAGACCCCAGCCTTCCGTGGGCCCCCCAGCACCAGCACTGCACGGCCCAGGGGCGCTCAGGGGTCTCCCCCACCTTCCCACCCCTCGGCTCACACACTCGGAAGTGGGGGCAGGTGCCCAGGCTGTGACTGTAAATACATGGGCAGCCCGGCCAGCATGGCTCAGGGGTTGAACGTCGACCTGTGAACCTGGAGGTCACGGTTCGATTTCGGGTCAGGGCACAGGCCCGGGTGCGGTGCAGGCTCGATCCCCAGCAGGGGGCGTGCAGGAGGCAGGAAGGGAGAGGGAGAGATGGAAACACCAATG